GTTAACGCGTAGAGTTTCATTAACGTTTAATTAACTAAACGTGATCCCTTTAATATGGAAAGTTTCATGAAGGGAGGAAATAAGGAAACGACAAATTTTTGTTCGCCCCCGGACCATTATACACGCGAGAGATACAACGGAAGAAGAATAGAAAATTGGCAAAGGAAAGCCCCTCTTTCCAACGTAAAAGGATCCTTCATAAAGTTAGCTGCTTTTCTTTCTATTAACGTTCTCATTTTTCGCCCTCGCGCAACTCATAACTTCGAGCTTCTACGCCTCCAAGACCATATGTGTCTTCTTCCTACGTTCGCGAGGAATTCCAGGCACACGTTGCGATCGAACTTTCATGAAACGTCAAAGAAATGAGTGATCGAGTAGACTCGTCACGATGCTGAAATTTTACGATTCTCGTTACCTTAAAGCCAAGTAGCAAAACTTATATCCGCCCTTCGTTTTTCTTTTTTCTTTTTGCTTTCTTTTCATGTATCGCAAACTCGTAATTTAGAATCAGTACGAAGGTGGTAGAAACAATCGGGGGCTTAAATAAAATTCCTTCCAAATTAATTAAGATAAATAGTCCCGAACAAGATCGATTAAATAAAGTTACTTCGAGCGAGAAACTCGCGGTAACTTTTAAATCAACTTAGAATCAACTTAACACGTTGTTAGTAAGATCATTATAAGTAATATTTTTCTAAAGGTAAACATATCTATCGTGTAATTTATCTTGGAACTTGGTTTAAATCCTATTAAAACTAGGAAAATTTTGAACCGCTACAGCTTCGAAAATAATCAACGATCGTTAGAAGCGTGGAACCTTAACCTTTTCGATTTATCTCGATACGATTATTGGTTCCTGAAATATCGTCGTGCAAAGAAAGAGGAGTAATTTTTATTTAAATTTTTAATTAAACTATCTCAATCTTGTCGCTTATTTGGATCTCTCAGCCTCGTCTCGCTGTCTCGAACTCCAGACAAAACAGACGCGATTCCTGGAACAACGTAATCCACGATTCCTGAGGGGAAAAAATGTAAACTCGTTCGTATCGCGAGGCTTGTAGGTAAATAAATCTCTGCATAAACACTTCAAATTCTCGACAACGGATCGAGATAAATGAAACAAGAAAGCGACTTCAATGAGACAATTTTCTCTAATTTTCTGAATCGATTTTGACAAAATTTTTAGTTTCTTTTCATAGATTTTTTATATAGAAAAATTTATCAGAAGTTTCTCACTGTTGATACGAGGTACAAAGTGCAAATTTAAATTTATTTAATCTTATCTATTTTTATATTTGCATAATAATAAACCGACAAATATAATAAATATGCAAGCGATTAAAAATGTACGCTTGACATCATCGTGGAATATGTTCCCGTAATAACGAATGCATTTAAGTATTTAAGATAAAAAGAATATCATATACGCGTGGTCGAAATTTTAGTGGGAATTTTTTTCAATTAAAAGTTTTATATATACGACAATCGAGGCCGTAAATTCGATCAAAATCGATGTTTTCGCGCTTTTTTCTATTCTTTTTACACCAAACAGCGAACAGCGCGGCGAAGAAATTTATACGCATTTATACGCGTGTCTCGTAGCGTTTTACAGAGTGGAAAGATAGAATGAAATTTAGAAAAGTTAGCGTGTTTGTAACGAGACGCGTGTGTTATTTACATTGACAGTTTCACTGTCTGCACGTGTGGCAAATTGGAAATGAGTATGCTGTGTAGTTTGCGCTTGTCACGGAGAGGAGCAGGAGAATTTCCATGTCGACAGGATCCCCGTTGAAGGTACGATACCCAGCCGCTGCTTCGAGTTTCGCGATAGTTAGCGGGAATTTCTAGCGTGGAGAGTCCACCGCTACAGCAATTTTCATTATGTCGTCTGTTATTACTATAGTTTCCGTCGTATAAGCTGATATTACAATTTCAGGCCGTGAGATCCTTCGTTTCTCTGTTTTCATTACCATATTTTCTCCTATAGGAAACGTTGTAATTAGACTTTCCCATCAAATACAGCGGAATGATGCTCGGCGAAACTGGAATGACGTTCCGCTAACGACTTTATTTCCATTTCGAATAATATTCAAGAAACGAGAAATTGCACGCGAAACAGCTAACTGCGAAGAATGCCGATGAAAAAAAATTTCTCTGTCGCGGCGATAAGAGAGATATATAATCGATATATATTCTCAGAATAAATTTTTACGATCATGGACAATCGAACTGTCGCGCGTGTACACGTGTGTTGTACACACGAGTCGAGTATACGAAACTCGAAAAATTTCACGTCCATCGTAAATCTCTTGCCGGTATCGTACTCTATCATCCCCGCCAAATGTTAAAAATTTACCATAAAAGTATTTTACGATGACACGTACTCGCGTGTCGCGTATCGAGCGCTGTCCAAATGAAAGTTTAGCAGGAGCCACTGGAAAATTTTAGGATCCACGTGGCCGTCGAACGTTCATCGGGAAGATGACACGAGCGATGCACACCCTCTAACAGATAATTCTGTTATTATTACAGATAAACTCGGAATGGTCGCTCGGGCCTGAGCTTTGCGACATGTGGACCAGCAGCGACGTTCTCTGCTGCACTGCCTCGATATTGCATCTGGTGGCTATCGCGGTCGACAGATATTGGGCAGTCACCGATCTCAATTATATACAGGTTAATTAACACTGTCGCGGTCGGTAGATAGACGAGAATGGCAACGAATGACAAACTTACGTCGAAGGGATGACAGGAGAAGAGGAAGAGATTAGATAGGCGGTCGTATATCGATCCTAGAAATGCGATTCCGACAATCGAGGCATCTTTGTACGATGCAATTAATAAATAGCTTTACCGCGTGTGGAATTGTTTATTTCATTTTTCCTCCTCCTCCGAAGAATTCGTATCGTGCAAGAATTCCATTTCTTACGGGCGAAATTGAAGATTCGATCGAGATCTGTTTGCCAAATTTTTCGTTAACGCCTTGTCAATAAAGTGAATCCAGAAAGAGAGAGAAATGTAATTTATCGAGATTTCGAGATTCACGATACGTATCCGGTAATTAATCTAGTCTTATCGACGATGGCCAATAACTAATCGAACCTAAATCCTATGACACCTGCTACGGATACCCGCATGTCGGAGGTAACGTTACCGAAATCCTAGGCTTAGAATCTCGATAATAATGTTGCAACACGGTCACCTGATTATCCGTGATGCGATAGAGTTATTTCAATCTTGAAACTTAGCGTTCGACATGCCGGCTTCCCGACCCCGATCCCGGATATTATCTCGGGCAAGATGTTATAAAAATATTCCGGTGTGGGAGGAAGAATCCGGATGGTATGAGGGCTCGCCGATTCTCGATATGTGATAACCGGTGAAAGAATTTCTTTACTTCCAGGCGAGGAATCCACGACGGATTGGTATGTTGATCGTCGCCGTCTGGGTGGTGTCCTTAGGAATCTCGTTGGCGCCTCAACTTGGATGGAAGGATCCTGATTATTTGGATCGTATAGCGGACGGGACTTGTCTGGTTTCGCAGGATCCCGCATACCAGGTACCCGCTTCTTCATAAATCACAAAAATCTTCCTTTCGAGTTATTTCGAGAGAAATTGCATCCGTCCTTTCGATCGAATCTCACGACGATTCTTTTCTTTTTTTTCGATTCTTTTTCGATAACTTCCTCGATAAATATGAATGAATCGATAGAATGGAAAGTACGAACGGTGATACTTTAAAGAAAAAAAGCATAGGTATTTTGATGAGATTTAAGAATAAAGAATTTCTTAAAATACTTTCCAGATCTTCGCCACTTGCGCGACATTCTATCTACCCCTGTTGGTTATTCTATTCCTGTACTGGAGGATATTTCAAGCGGCGCGGAAGCGGATCAGAAGGAGGCCGGGAACCATTGTGCAGCCAGCTCGTGAAAGAAGAGGCATCCTTAGATACGTCACAAAAAGGTTCCGCTTCCCTCCCACATGACTCTGAATAGATACACGGTCGTTAAGTTCCTTAACTCAACTTCCCTCCCTTCCTCCCCCTCTATTCATAATTTCCACGTGGCTGTTGTACCCTCTCGCTCCGGACTAATTACTCTATATCTCGCGTATACTCGTTAAAATCATCATCTCAATCTCGTTCGTTGTGTCTCCACTCGAACGACATTCCACGCTCGAGAATTATTTTATCCAAGCCCTTTCCTAGACGAAAGGGATTTTCCCCTACTCGAAATTAACACCTGCGTATCCCAACGTTTTGCAGACCGAGGGAGGAATCGACAGCGTTCACGATAACGAGATCCACGCCGGATCATTCGTCGATCTCGCCTGAGAAATCGTCGTCTTACAACGGGGCGAACGCGACCCAATCGACCACGGTCACCCCGTCTACCGTTTCGACGACCACCACCACCACCACCACCACGACAGTGACGAATCCTTCGAGCAGCCACTCGACCCACTCGTCGAGCAAGAGGACGCGCGACACGATCGAGTCGAAGCGCGAGAAGAAAGCCGCGAAAACGCTCGCGATAATCACAGGGGCTTTCGTCGCGTGTTGGTTGCCTTTCTTCGTTGTAGCGTTGCTCCGCGCCACTTGCCAGGTCTGCGAGCCACCTGAGCTCATAGCAAGCGTCTTCCTGTGGCTGGGCTATTTCAACAGCACCCTGAACCCTGTGATATACACTGTATTCTCACCAGAGTTCAGGCAAGCCTTCAAGAGGATGCTTTGCGGTGGTTCCAGGATAATTCGCTGACAGTGGATTTAAATCTCGCGCCAGTCGCGTACGAACTGAGAGAGAGAGAATGATTGAGAGAGAGAGAGAGAGAGAGAGAGAGAGAGAGAGAGAGAG